ACTTCTTTTTCTTCCTATTTTTTAATGAGAACAAGAAAGGGTGTGGATCTGGATAGGTAGGGAGCATATGGGAAGAACAGGGGAGGTGAAATTGTAATCAGAATATATTACATGGAAAAAAATCCATTTTCAGTTGAGAGAAATAGGTAAGATAGGATTTTCTGTTTGTATTTTCTGGTTTGAAAGAGAAGATACCTCAAAGGTTGTTGTCTCTTTTTTAAAATTTATTTTTATTTTATTTTTTGGATTTCAAGACAAGGTTTCTCTGTATAGCCTTGGCTGTCTGGACTTACTTTGTAGATCATGTTGGCCTTGAACTCAAAGATCTGCCTACCTCTGCCTCCTGTGGTGGGATTAAAGGCGTGTAGCTCTACCACCTGGCTTGGAGGCTGTTGTCTTATTACTGGGTAGAATACTATCTAGTTTATATATAACTTAGTAATTAAGTCTGCTTGGGGTGCTGTAACAGAACCTCACAGAATAGATGGCTTGAACAATGGAAGTTTGTTTTTGCCTGGGAGCAGGAAGATGAATTTTTACACATTCGCATCTGTCAATTATTGGTAGTGTCAGTTATTTTTCAATGCATTGACCAAAATACCTGACAGGAACAATCTAAGGAGAGAAGGTGATGTTAGGTTCTGTCTCCCTAACCCCCAAAATGACAGTGCCACTGACCCTGTCCTAAATGACATGTGGGCTCAGCCTAGGCTGCATTCAGGACTGCTGGTGGATAGATCTGAGCTTACACTCAGCAGTCCTCAGGAACCTGTCTTCCAGGAAGAGCCACTTACCTCTGGCAAATGGGGCTTCTAGCTCCCTATTAGTACATACTATAATACATATCAAAGCCCCATGCCGGCTCTCAAGATGTTCTGGCTTGCACACCTCACTGAACCCTGCAGCTACCTGATCTCTGTAAAACCAGCAAGGCTTTCCCCACTGTTCGCTATTTTCTGTCTCTCAAGAGGTAGCCATGGCAGCTTTGGACTACCCTAAATGCTTCTGCCTCTTCTCCCTCTACCACCCAGGAGATAGCCATGCTGCAGTTTCACTATTACAATAAACTTCTTCCCAATAAACCTGTCATATGACAAAGGCTACATTAAAGAAAAGTCTAACCCTGGAGTGGTGGTGCATGTCTTTAATTCCAGCATGCAGGGAGGCCGAGGCAGGCAGATTGTTGTGAGTTCCAGACCAGCCTGGTCTCCATACTGAGTCCGGGACAGCCAAGAGTACACAGAGAAACCCTGTCTTGAAAAACCAAACAAAAAGGAAAAAAGAAACAACAGCAACAAAAAGGTGTTGGCCGTGGAAAGGCACAGATGCAGCTCACAGCTTGACGTTTGGAGTTTGTTGACTGTTCAATTTGGGATGGGCAGAGTGAACAGAACTAAGGGTGATTTTCAGGCTTGGCGACCCAGTTCAAAGCCTTGCAGGAATCCAAGAGAGAATAAAATAGGCAAATCTGACAAGGGAACTGGTCATGAGGAATTTACATCCATAAAAGGGCCGACTAGAAAAAATTCTAGATCTGTCTGTTGTGAAGAAAACATCAGAGATAAAATGCTTCAAAGTAGGAATCTCAGTTTATGATTCCAGAGGTGTCAATCTGATGGCTGTTAGAGGTTGGTCTAATCCTAATTACTGGCCCTCAAGGTCTGGTTACTGCCTGCCAGATACACTCATCCTTGTTTGTGTAAACCTGTCCAAGACATGTTAATTAAACAGCCTATACCTGGGCAGGGCAGAATGGGGTAGGCATGGCTAGAGTTCCCAGGCTTTTGAGGAGAATCACAGGAAACCGGAAGGAGGAGGACATCAGGGTAGGTTAGCTGGAAAAGAAACTACATGGGGCCAGAAGGAAGGACTCCAATAATGGTGTGAAAAGGGCCAGATGAAGCATGAAAGCAAGTATTTATAAGATTATGGGTGGAAGACAGGATTAAGGAGATGGCATTGGATGGTGATTGGGTGATGGATGGTGAGGATATTGAGACAGGGTAAGGAAAATATCTGCCTGGCCCAAGGTAAATAAGGCAATTATAAGTCTAACAGGTGTCTGTGTCTTATTATTTGTGATAGCTGGTTAGATAATACCGCCCTGATAATCATAAGGCTATAGCAAACATTATATAGCCCAACACTTCATTTTAATATTTACCACAACAGATGGCCCAGTTACTTTGTGCCTGAGGTAAGGTAGAATGTTACGGCAATGGGAAGCACAGAGGCAGAGGTACACTACCAGTGAATTCCTTCTTACAATCGGGACTCTCCTTAGTCCACTCAGGTAATTCAGCTGAACATTCAGTGGATCGTTACCCAGATACACACCAACCCCCCAGCCCATCTGGTTACTTCTCAATAGTGACTCTAGTTGGAGACTAGTCCTTCAATACATGAACCTTTTTGGGGGAGTGTTGTAAGCGGTGATTAATATTTACTATTAGTATTCTTTTAGTAAAGCTGCTGTTAATCCTAAGCAGCTATATAACCAAATCACCACACAGACACTGGGTTTATTTAGTTAACCTAGAACACAATGCTGGGCAATAGCTACTCCATCCTAAACCTCCAAGTCCTCATTTTCCCACATTATACTTGCTTTTAGTGATAATCTTAGGTCCAGTCCATCTCTCCACGTAGTTCCAAGATATCTCCTTCAGCTCTGTTCTCCTAGCTCTCCTCAGCCTTTTTTCTCCCACTCATTTCTTGTCCTCTGGCTCCTCCCTGCTCAACATTTTATCTAGTTGCTTTATTTTAGTGTCTGTTTACACAAGAGTTGAGACCGGATGCTTGGAATGTGCATCACAATGCAATATCTGGATTGAAACCAGAGGGGGGAGGGGAGAAATCAGCATTTGAATGAACAAGGGTAAGGTGTATACACTTTAAAAGAACATTATACCAACAGGGGAGGGGCGGTCCCTACCTAGGCCAGGTGGTTAACCAGACCAAATGGAATGTTAGGTGTTCACCTAGGTCAGAGACTTAATTTTCTTTACCAGAAAGAACTAATTTTTCCCTAATGGGACTTACTACTGCTGCCTTACTGTGATGAAATAGCCCAAAAAAAGCAATGCTAGGAGGGAAGGGATTATTTTGGCTAAAAGCTCCAGGTTACAGTCCCCGGGGGCGGGGTGTCTGTGGGGAAGGACACAGGAGCAAGAGCTAGAGTCAGCTGGTGAGATGGTGCTCAAGGAGCAGAATGAAAGCCTTGGCTCTCTCCTTTTCGTTCAGTTGAAGATGGGAAAGACCACCGCCCACAGTAGTTGTCATAGTCAGGGTTCCATTGCTGTGAAGAGTCACCATGACCAAGGCAACTCTTATAAAGAAAAACATTTCATTAGCGGTTGGCTGACAGTTTCGGAGCTTAGCACCACTGCAATGCAGGCAGACATGGTGCTGGAGAAGGAGCTGAGAGCTCTACATCTCGATCCGCAGGCAGCAGCAGGAGACTGTGTGCAAGGGGAGGCTTGAGTATGGATGACCTCAAGGCCCGCCCCCACAGTGACACACTTCCTCCAACAAGGCCCCACCTCCTAACAGTGCCACTCCCTACGGGCCTATAGTGTTTCTCATGAAACATGTTGAGTCTATGGGAGCCGTATCTATTCAAACTACCACAGGGGTCAAGTCTTCTCATCTCAATCGAAGGAATCAGGATAATCTTCCACCACTCTGTGATTTCTAGATTGTGTGTCAAATTGATACCACTAACCGGCACACTGCCTAGTGGGGAGGCCAGCTTCTTTCAGATTCTTTTAGATTTATTTATTTATTTACTGTGTATACAGTGTTCTGCCTCAATGTACACCTGCAAGCCAGAAGAGTGCACTAGATACGATGATAGAGGGTTGTGAGTCACCATGTGGTGGCTGGGAATTGAACTCAGGACCTTTGGAAGAATAGTCAGTGCTCTTAATCTCTGAGCCAACTCTTCAGGCTGCCACCCCCCACCCCCTTTTATGTACCTAGAAGTGCATTTGTTAGTTACTCTTAAAAGTTCTATTTAAGGCCTGGTATGGTGGTGCATGCCTTCAATCTCAGCACTCAGGAGGCAGAGGCAGGTGAATCTCTGTGAGTTCAGGGCTAGCCAGGGCTCTGTTACACAGAGAAACCCTGTCTTGAAAACCAAAAAAACCCAACCAACCAAATAAAAGTTCTATATAAATTATATCCAGGTATAAGACATATGTCCCTTTAATAAAGTCAGCAGTCTGTTTGAACTGCATGTTTGTTAGGCAAAACTAGGAAGCTCTCAAACTGTAATATTACACTACACGATCCTATCTCTAAAAGCCTGAGTTACACACATTTTTCTCCATAAAAATTCTAGACTCTGAAATACTGAAAACAAGCCATAATTTATCTCTGTACTACCCCGTGACTCAGCATCATGCTTTTGCATAGCGTATCCAGTGAGCATTTGAATATTTAATATTTCTTTTGTAGTTTTTTTTTTTTTTTTTTTTAAAGATAGAGGTAAGTATAGCCCAGGTTTTCAATAGTACCTGAAGCTGTTCTTGAATTTCTGATCTTTAACCCCACGCGCTGATATGGCAGACATGCTCTACCATGACCTGCTCATTAACAGTATATTAACAGCCAATTCACCAGTATACACAGGCTTCGGAACAAAGTAATGAATATTTGAGACACTGCCCAGGCTGGCCTCCAACAATGTGGTTGAGGATTACTTTGAATTCCTGATTGTGACTCCATCTCCTCTTCGCTCTGCTGGGATTATGGGAATGTGCCGTCCCGCCTAGCTCAGGTTTTGGCTTTTTAAAACACGGGTTTTTGCCCCCCATCCCCACCTCGGGTGCTTCCATCAGCTTCTCCGGTTGTTTACGGCCAGCGTGGAGTTGACGGAAAGGAGGGCACAACACTCCAAGTTTTCTGGGACCAGGAGGTCCTTCTAGCTGCAAGCGGTTAAGAAAAGGAAGCCGAAAGGATGTGTCTGAGGGCTTGGGCGGGCGGGGGACCAACTTTACCGGGCTTGCGTCCCAAGCAGGGCCTCGTGCCGTCAACTGGGGGCTGGCAGGCTCGGGCGCTCGGCGCCTCTCCCGCCGCCTGCCATTGGCCGGGCCGACGCCCGCGTCTCTTCCGCGCACGAGGAGGCTCGCACCGGGGGCTCCGCGGACCTAACAGCCGCCGAGCCCGCAGCCCGGCCGCCCGCCCGGGCCGCAGCCAACAGTCGCGGCGGGGGCAGGCCGCCGCAGCGCGAGGGCCTGGGATGCGGAGGGGCTGAGGGCCGTGGTCGCCAGGGTTCGGAAGATCCGGAGAAAATGTCTTCGGGGCATGCGCCACAGCGGCCGTTAAGTGACCCAAAACCGACGCCGTGGAGTCGGCAGCCCGGAGGCATGGGACCGGAGCATGGCCGGGCTTAGCACGCCCAGCGGGGACCCTGAGGGCGCAGAGCGCAGGCGCGACGCGCAGGGCCCAGCCGGCGGCCAGGTGCGGCCGGCCAGGTGCGGAGGACAGGGGTGGAGCAAGCGCGGCTGCGCGGGCGTCCGGGGCGGGGCCGCAGCTACACGGGACGGGGCGGTGCTTTGTCTGACCAGCCTGCTCCCGGGCGGATCCGGTAACTCCTGGGTAAGTGATGCTGGGGCTGGGTGCGGGCTGGAGATGGAACACTGACGCTCCCCCCATCCACACCCCCCTCCCCCAGCCGAGGTTCATCCTACGAAGCAGGTTCTCGCTGTAAAGCTGGTGGTTGACATCCTGCCTGCTTCGGATTAAGTTGTAGTCGTTAGGAACATGCGTAACAGAACACCAACACTGAAGTCCGTGAGTGAATTGGATCGGTGCTTGCAGCATCGCTGGCTTACTGAGCCCCCACCCCACCCCCCAAGTTTCATTTGACGTTGTTTGAGAAGTTACTGAAAGCAGTATGGATGGAGTTGGGAATCCGAGGATGGCCTTGATCAACTACTGACCACCTTCCGTGTGCTGAGTTATTGCCTTGTGCCACTGGGTCTGGTTTTATGCGGTGTTGGGCATCGAATATGCTTCATGCTTGCTTTGTTAAGCATTCTCCCAACTGAGCAGCATCGGTAACCTGAGGTCGAGGATCTTAGCAATAGCTTCCATCACACTGAACTAGTCATGGTTAAACAAGTATTACTGCGTTTTGCTAAGCCGGATGCTTTTAGAACCCACCATCAAGATCTCTGTGCTTACCGGATGAACTGTGTGGGCAAGTGGTACCGGGTGAGAAGGAGAAGGCGGAACGCCTGCCCCCTTTCATCTGGGCCATCGTTTCTTCCAGGTTTTTCGTGTGAAAAAGGGATTAATTGGCATTTTACAGCAGAGTTGCCGCTGATTCCCTTGATACAGAGCCCGGAGGAGAAATCTTCGTTATTATTATTTTTTTTTTGTCACAGTGGAAGTTGGAAACAAAATGGAAGTGGCAGAAAAGAACATACCGGTAAATGCCACCCTTTTCACCTACCTGCTTGGGTCTCGGAAGGGTGTACTGTGGAGAAATGACAAGTCCAAATCGTCTCCCCGGGGTGTTGAATTAAATAAAACTGACATCCGTTGAAATCTCCACATCTGATGTGTATAAAGTAAAAACACAGATGTTATTAAAAAAAAATCCCTACACATGCATACGGGTCACCTGGAGGTGGTGTCTTTCTTTCCTTTACCTGGAGGGTTTTAAATGCCGAGCTTTCTCTGTGGTCTGCTGAGGCCCAAGACTTTGCATTTCTCTGGGTTTCCAAGACGATGCTGTCCTGGTTTGGGGACCATACCTGGAGACCCAGGCTGAATCTCCCCACTGTATATAGCATTTGGGCACTTGAAATGTGGCTCGTGCAACTGAGGAAGGAACTGAGCCTTACTGTGATTAACTTAGGCACTAGCCAGTGTGAAACCCAGGGTTCAATCCCCAGCACAGCTAGACAAGACAGAGGGCAGGCAGGGGTCCTGGTTGCATGTGTGGGCTATGTTTTATCATATTGCCGGGCATGGAAGCCAGGGCCTCCCTCAAGGAAGCCAAGTGGTCTGTTGCTAGGGTACATCCCAGCCTCACTTGCCATTTGCTTTTGTTGGATAGCGTTACCCTAGGTCCAGGTCTGTCTTGGTTTACTCTTCTACAGCACTGGTAGGGAATAGTAGCGACAGCTGTTGCAGATACAGCGTCACTTTTCTTTTACTCTTGGATCTGCTGAAAAAATGAAGGCGGCGGGGGGTGTGTGTGTGAGGAGCTAGTCTGCCTTAGGCCTGTTGCAATAAGAATATTGCGGTAGGGCTTACCTCTGGGTAAGTGAAGCAAGGGCAGGTGAAGATGGAGGTGTCTGTATAGACAGAGTTGTGTGCAAGCAGCAGGCTGTGGGAAGATGGGTAAGTGCATAGAAAACCAAGCAGAAACCTCTGTTTAGAACCTAAACTTCAGACGGTGAGGGTGGTCAGGTGTCAAGGGTGGGAGAGTCACTTTAAACTGAGATGCACAATTCTTGCTAAAACTGGCCTGTGCAGTAGTCCAAAGACTGGGGTACAGACTCAAGGATCAAAGCTTGCTGGGGAAGAGGCCTTAGAGGCGTCTGAGGGAGGACTGGGAGGGGGAGAGCATCTGTTGTCAGCCCAGCATTTCCTAGCCTCCGGTCTGTCTGGAACACAGTCTTCCGCAGCTCACACGGTCAAAAGGCCCCTGAAGTTTAGCTACAGGAAGCATAAAGCCCGCTTTCGGTATACTGAAAGGGAGGGGCTGTGGAGCGAGCACAGCACTGCCCCAAGACCTGAGGTTTGGGCTGTTTGCCGAGCTTGATTGGGGAGACGAGATCTTTTTGTTTGCCTCTATAAAAGTCACGCACGATTGAGCACTTTTTGTTGTTGTTTAAAATCTTGCAGTGCAATAGTGTGGTTGGTGGTAATTTTGAAGAAGTTTGTCCAGAGAAGGTAATTAGGTTTAAGCCGCCATTATACAAACAACGGTACCAGTTCGTTAGAGATTTAGTGGATCGTCACGAACCTAAGAAGGTAACTATCCTTTTCTAACTGTTAAGATTGCCCTATTAAGGTGGTTTGTCAAATATACCAGTGAGAGAGACTCCCCCTCCCACCCCCGTGATCTGGATTACACACAGGGGCTTTGGCATGCCTGGCATGCCTGAGAAGGACTTGAAGGGTTCAGGGTGCTGGATATGATTGTAGTGCATTGAATACAAGAGAAAACTGTTAAAGGAAAAGAGAGGTGTGGTTGTATGTCGCATAGTCTGGCTTCTGACTCATAGACTTAGGTGATCCTCCTGCCTCAACTTCTCCAAGCAGAGCACAGGTGTGCTCAGCAGGAGAAGCTTGAGAGTAATTATTCCAATAGGAGAACACTGGCGCCAGCAGCATTTTGAACAGTGAGGACAGCTTAATTGTGGTGAGAGAAGTTTGTTTTTGGAGACAGGGTCTTACAGTAGCTCAAGCTGGCCTTTGACTCCACTCTCCTGCCTCTTCCTCCCGAGTGTGGGATTACAGGGTTTGACACTGCCCCTGCCGACTCCCCCCACCCCCAGCTGTTTTTGGAGGTAAGGTCTGGTTAGGTTGTTATGGCTGGTCTCAAATTCTTAGGCTCAAGCAATTTCTTTTCCTTTTCTTTCTTTCTTTCTTTCTTTCTTTCTTTCTTTCTTTCTTTCTTTCTTT